TACACACGTATATATTTATATATAATATATATGTATATGTGTGTGTGTGTGTGTATCTCCCTGACTCAACATCATGTATGTAAATCTATTCATAATGGGAACAATTTAAATGACTAAGATCAAAGAGCTGCAACCCTGATATCATGTTTAACTTAAACTGTGTAAATGTGCTTGGTGCTTGTGCAGAGGAGCAGACTGTGGGTCATTCGCAGGAAGAGTGCGCTCTGGTGAGGGGGGATGATAACGGTCCTTTGCACGTGACCAGGTGTGCGCTGTGGGTTCCCGAAGAGGGCCAGGGACACAGGAGAGGCTAAGGAGACTGGGTACCAGAGATTAAATGCATGAATCCTGCCGTCTTAGCACAAGGATGGGAAAAGGGATCTGCTCAGAAATAATGAAGATGTAATCATAAGAGCTGGAAAGATTATTTTAAGTGCTTGCAGGTGGTAAAGAAGACCAACTATCAGCTTGTAATTACGAAGGGAACGGAATAAATATATGCAGTTTTTAAATGTTCGTCACATCCACAACTCCTCTGCAATGTGAAGATATAAAAATATTTTATCTTCAGATGGTGGAGGGGAAATCTGGAACACAGACAAGAAATCAAGTCATCAGACATCACGGAGTCACAGGCAGGGTGGGGGTGGCTGCAGGCATCAAACTCACCAGCCCCAGTGGTCGCGTGCTGTGGCGACTTCCAGCCCAGCCCCTCAGTTCGCAGGAGCGGGGCACGCTGCACACTCGGGAGTCTGACCGGGGCTCGGCTGCTGCCTCGAGTGATCCCTGGCACCACATCCCACCGCGTTCCCAGTTTATTTGCGAGACCCACATTCCCGAGAGGGCTGGCTTTTCAACAGCTCTGCAAACTGGAGTGAATCCACTGAACAAGCCTGGGTTTGCATCCTCCTAGCCCCCTGACAACCTTGGCCTTGGATCTCACAGCAGGAGGAGAATTTGACCGTGTGAACTATTGTCTTCTCTGCTCAGTGCTTCCTGGATTCTCCATGTCCCGCCCACTGAGAGTTCTTGGTCAACAGCCCCTCAGTGTCACATGCAGGGTAGCTTCGGGGTGGGGGGAGCCGGAGAGGTCAAGGTCACAGTGGAGGCTGCCAGCACCCAGCCGGGGCCGATTTTCTGGGGCCTTTCTGGGGCCTGGTGTGCCTGTAAGTTAGTGGAGGTGTGTGCCCCGCCACATACCTGTGCTGAGAGCACTACTCACTAGAGAGCCCGGAAAAATACCAACGGGCTATAATCTGTAGAACCAGAAGATTCCTTAGGAAATGAAATCTCACATCTTAAAGTGCTTTGTCTATCTTACGGTATTTTACCAAAGGGCCTAGTATGTGGCCTTCGGTCTGATGGGTTCCGTATCAAGTATCATGAATGAATGTGATGAAACACCCCCAGGGTTAATACGAATGCCCTGCAAAGTGGCTCGCTGAACAGTCTGGAGTTGGGCCTTAGTGCCTTTGTGCAGATGATCCTTGGATATATTTTTCCTGGTGCTTTTAAAAACACTTCTATTTATTTATTGATTGATTAGAGAGAGAGAGAGAGAGATTGAGATTTGTTGTCTCACTTATTCACATGTTCATTTGTTGACTCTTGCATGTGCCCTGACCAGGCACTGAACCCGCAGCCTTGGTGCCTCAGGATGGTGCCCTAACCAGCTGAGCTACGCAGCCAGGGCTGTTTAGTTTTTGTTTTTCACAGAACAGGTGCACTGCCGTCTGCAGTTGTCCTGTGGGCAAATCCTTGCCGTTCCAAGGAAAGGAGAGTCCCTGAATGGGACGGAGAGACAGAGCAGAGCCCATGGTTGAGAGGCGGATCACGGCAATTGTCTGCTGCTCTGTGGCCTTTCAGTACTGCAGAACTCGGGGCTGGGTTTTCTCTACCTTGTAGTTATTGTTCTGAAAATATCCCTAAGGACCATAATGATGTGCTTCAGAAACAGGCTGTGCCTCTTATCGGGGGGAGAGCAGGCAGAAAAACAGCCACTGGGTGTTCCTACCAGAGCGGAGCGGGTGTACTCAAACCAGCCTGACTGTGCTCACCACCTGCCCTACAACGGCGCACTCTCCCGCCCCAGGCTCCGCCCGTGTCTGTGACGAAGCTGCCGCGCCGCCCGGACTTTTCCAAACTCCAGGCACGTGGGAACCACCTCCCCATTCTTTGCCACAGCCATGCAAGTGAGCCCTCATGACTACTACTTTACCTATTTCCACTCAAGTGATCCCATTTCTAATGCAAAGAAATACACTGATAAAACTTCATAACCCTACTGGGAATTCTATTACCTGTCAAGGCCCAACGGAAGCCTGCTCTCTCCTTCCTGGAGGGCGAACAGCCAGGTGGGGGAGGGGTTAAAGCACGTCGGAGCCAATGGAGACGTCCTCTTTGACTTTACACTGTCATGCTCTGCCGTGTCTACTTTCTGTGCACAGCGAGCCGGTGACCCCCTGTCACAGTCAGCACGCTGCTGCACGGCAGGCAGCGGTCAGATGTCGCCCCCTGGGGTTGTGCGGCGCACAGCCTGGCCAGTGGTGTTGGGTTGGCCAAAATGTCCATTACGTTTTCTCTGTTAAGATGGCCCTGGTCGTGCTTAGTAATCTTGAACTTCACTCAAAACAATTTTGTTAGATTGCATTGGGACAGCTGTCATGTCAGCATGCATTAAAAAAACTTATCAAAATTGGTGAATTTCTGTGCAGCCATTTTAATATTGAAGATGGAAGGAGATATGCAACATTTTCAGTGTATTATGCTGTATTATTTCAAGAGAGGTAAAAACTCAACTGAAACAAAAAAAAAGATTTGTGCAATGTATGGAGAAGGTGCTGTGACTACTGAACGTGTCAAAAGTGGTTTGTGAAGTTTCTTGTACTATTGATATTTTTGTCAAATAATTCTCTGCTGTGGGGCTGTCTGATGCACTGGAAGATGTTTAGCAGCACCCCTGGCCTCTCCCCACTAGAAGCCAACAGCAGGAGGTAGCCGACATCCTCAAAATATCCAAATCAATAAAGCTGTTGATGAAAATGAAAAACGTGTCTTTTATTTTACGGAAGAAACGTAATGGACTAAGGCATCGGAGAGGCAGCGAGCAGCCCTGTCGGCGGTGTTGCAGGAGAGGGAAGGAGTCTTATCTCACGCAGCCAGCCTCACCAAGACGACATTTCTGGTGTTATCATTGGAGAGCATCTAACTAAGAAGGAAACGTAAGGGTCAGAAGGAACACGAGGCGCAGGGGCGGACGCCTTGCATTCTAATCTGCAGGTCTCTGCAGAGCACAGGCTCCGTGCGGCTGTGGAGCGAGGAGCCCTGGCGGGCCCGGCCGCCCCTGCAGTGCCCAGGCCATGAGACACCCTGTTCTTCACAGCCAGGGGCGTGCGCTGCTTCACTGTAGAGCAGCATCCCCTCCCCCAGCCCCCTGTCCCCTTTCAAACTAGGTTTGCAGGCGATTCGAGAGACTGAGTAATAATGTGGCATCTCCTCACACAGAGGATTCTTCCTGGGGTGCAGCACCTTCTACGACGACACACTTTTGTGAGAGCGCTGAGTCTGGCCCGCACTGCAGACACTGGCTCACGCGCCTTCCATCTGCTTTTCCGGCTGCAGGAAGGGTGACCACTGCCCTCCAGTTTGCACAGAGCCTTCCCTGTGTCCATGGCTCCCTCAGAACACGGTCAGGGGGGCTCGACCTTCCGCCAGCTCATTGCCACGGCTTTTCCCTTCGAGACTTCACCACCCAAAGGCTTCACTGCTCTTCGTAAACTGTCTTTCTTTTGTTGCAGTTTGGGTATGAACTTCCTTTTCTTTTGGCGGCCTTGTTTAAAAGGGCTCTCCAAGGGGGGCCGGTAGTCAGCTCCCCTCTTATCTGGTGAGTGATTCTCAAGCTTGGCTACACGCCTGGGGAGGTTTCACATGGAGGGACACCTAGCTCTCACCCCCGGGGCGTCGGGTCTCACTGGCCAGGGGTGTAGGCTGGACATCGGGGTGTTGGAAGCTCCCCGGGTAATCGGAAAGTGCACCCGAGACTGAGAACCACTGCACTAGGTTAGGGCTTTCAAACTTGAACGTGCACACGGTCAGCAGCCTGGGAATCTTGCTCAGAGGCAGACGCTGACTCAGTGGGTCTGGGGCGAGGGCCCGGGAGTCTGCATTTCTAACCAGATGCAGTGATGCAGTTCTTCCCAACGCCCTCTGTTCAGACCCGGACCAAGTGGCGCTCACCTGCACCCTCTCTGTCCTATATCTACGCACGCTCAAGTAACGCGCGATTCCCAGCGAGCAACCGCATTCCGCGCATGTGCGGTTTTGTTTCCGACTGTCTAACAGCGGGATCCCTACTCTACCCTCACACGGAGGATTGTCTAAAAAAGACGGAACCCCTGCATCAGCACTCAGAACGATAAATCAGGCTCGCAGAACCCGGGGTGCACGCACTGATGTGGGGACCCATGTAGAACCCCGGAGTTTGTACGAAGATTATTGTAAACTGAGGACGTCTGCCATCCGGCAGATGCAGAAAGAGATCTTTCCGGAGCTCCCGTTCTCCGACTCGCAGTAGGAACCTCTGGGAAACGAGGCTGCCGTCCACACGCCCCCCACCCACCGGAGCGGCTTGCACTCCCAGGAAGGACACCAAGAGCAGACGCCCGAGAATCCCCGCGCAGGGCGGTTCACGGCCTACAGCGGACAGACAGACAGACAGACAGCTGCCTCACACCCTACAGTGGATAGACAGACAGACAGACAGCCGCCTCACACCGGCGTGATCACGCAGGGTCGCCAACGTCACCGCTCCTCCGCTCTTCTCCCAACCCCTCTGCTCTAGCCTTCGGAGCCTCTTCTCCTCTCTCCTTGTCCCCTTAGACCTGAGGTGCGTGAGCCTCCACCTTGAGTCACTGACTAGGCTAATTCTGGGGTAATAAGCGGCCACGTGCTGCCGTTATCCCCGCGTCTCGGGCGAGGAAGCCGAGGTCCGCAGACCGTACCTGAGTCCAGGTGGTCCAGGTGCCAGGGGTCGGTGGCGGACGACATGGGCGAGAGGGTGAGCGGGGAGGCCCCGCAGTTGGACTCCACCAGCGCGCCCTGGACGTGCACCTGCGCCGAGGCGTTGGTCTGCCGCAGGGCCGCCTTGAGCGGGGCCACGTGGTTGAACTGCACGCGGGACAGGCACCCCGTGAAGCCCGGGGTGTTGTACTTGTGGATCTCCTGGTCGATCTTCCCCGTTTCTGAAAGACAAGGAGAGAGGATGTAACGATCTCATCCCACTCGCTCCGTTCCGGCTGCGAAATACACTCGTCGCTGAACGCTGGGGTCCAAACCGTACTCCTAGGTTGCAGGTTGAGATGTTACGTTCTTTTAGATGAAACACTCACGACGCGATAGGGCTTAGGGCTAGGGACTTCACTTTGAAAAGACCTCCTGTGTTACTAGAGAACCCGGCAGGCGGAGGGGAAGAGGACTGTATTTGTTAAAATAACACGCGTTTGTAATCACCTTCCGGATACCTGAGATCTCGCTGGAACTGACCGCGCCCTTGGCCCCGGCCGACTGCCGTTTCTGAGCTCAGTGCCCCTCTCACGGGTGTGGAACAAGCCTCCCACCCAGCCCTCCCGTACCCCTTTTGTATCTCTTTCTTATCTTCTTCTTCAGAGTTTGTAATTTAAAAACAAAAGAAAAAAAAAACGAGTTCCTACAATAGTCGGTAATGGGGCGTTCCCTTTTCTTCCGAATCCAACCCCCTCGACATCCTGGAGTTTACGGATTCCCAGCCAGAACCTGACAGGTGTGCCGGAAGTCAGGACAGATGACCAACTCGGTCACAAACCGACACAGGCATTTAAGGGTCTCCACCGTCCCCCGACCTGTGAGCTCAACCTCGTCCTAAACCAACACCCAGATCGGGGGCGAGCAGGTGCGTTTACAACGCACTGTTTCAGCCAGCACAGCCGCTCGTTGCCGCATCAGGAGCGGTGAGCGTCTCTCTGGCCCTCCGCCCCGAGTTCTAGACCCTCCCCAGCAGGACGGGGGCTGCAGGAGCCCTGAGCTTTCCGCCCAGCGGTTCTCCCACTGTGGCTCCTGAACCCGCAGCACTGGTGTCACTGAGGGTCTCCAGCCGGACACTCGGAGGGTGGCCCGGCCGTCTGTGCACTTCTACAAGCCCTCCTCTCGAGTCCAAGGCTGCCAGGGCTCGAGAACCGCGGACCGCCCAGGCAACGCCCGCGCAGTACCGCAAACCTAGGTGAGGGGCCAGTGGCGCTTCGGCAATTTGCATTTGGGATGGGAGACGGTGTTACCACGGTGATTACCTTTGAAGTCCAAGGGCAGGAATGTGACACATTTACCCTTGCATGTGAACTGTGAATAACAAAGACTGGAACCAGAACACTATCTACTTCTTTAAAAAGTTGACTTCGGCCCTGGCTGGTGCAGCTCAGTGGATTGAGAGCCAGCCTGTGAACCAGAGGGTCACTGGTTTGATTCCCAGTCAATGCACATGCCTGGGTTGTGGGCCAGGTCCCCAGTGGGGTGCATGCGAGAGGCAACCACATACTGATGTTTCTCTCCTTCTCTTTCTCCCTCCCTTCCCCTCTGTCTAAAATAAATCAGTAAAATCTTTAAAAAAAAAGTTGACTGGTTCTATTGTTTTAAGCCCTCACCTGTGGATTTATATTCATTGATTTTACAGAGAGAGAAAGGGGGGGGAGAGAAACATCAGTTCGCTGCCTCCCATACACACCCCGACCAGGAACTGTTCCACAACCTAGGTATGTGCCCTCATCGGGAACTGAACCCACAGCCTTTTGGTGTACTACGGGATGATGCTCCAACCATCCGAGCCGCCCAGCAAGGGCAGTCCTGTCTTTAATTTTGTGAAGGACCTCCATCCTGTTTTCCATAGCGGCTGCACCATTCCACACTCCCCCCACCAGCTTCCCCACATCCTCGCTGCTTGCTATCTGTGGTAGAACCAGGCTTCGAGGGTGGAAGGAAAAAGAACTCCAGGTTGACCTTGTTATGAGGTTTGCTACGTTCTGGGACCAGTGGGAGTCTGACGGGGAGTCTAAGGGCTCAGGCCAGACGGGGAAGGATCCTGAACGCCACGTTAAGATGTTTGCATTTCAGTGTGAAACTCAAAGATGGTTCCTCTGCGGAGGGCGGTGATGGGAACTGGTGAGAAAGGTAACTAACGTTAGCAGCGGATCTCATTAGCCTGCAGCGCCCACGAGCTCCCTGGGCTGGGAAGGGGTCTGCTGGGCCGAGGCAGGGCCACACCCCTGATGGGACGGCACCTTCCTGCCCTCCGCTGGGCCCTGACATAGTTACAGGGAATCGGGTCTGGTTCTGTCTCCTCCGCTGGAGACCTGGGTGGACACCTTCCGACTCCGGCTTCGCTTCATACACTGGCCCCTGACACGGTCCTCCGAACTGTAGGCAGGGCAGGCTCCCAATCACACCACCGGAAGCGAACGGTTTCAAAGCTGTGCGCATCTGAGGGTCCCCATGTTAAGGAGGGGTCCCCGCTTCTTCAAGAGCTGCCCTCCCTGGGGTGTCTCCCTGTGAGCAGACCCCCGGGGGGATAACAGACAAGGCAGATGGCTGGAGGGGAGCCCCAGGGTGGGGGAGTCTGACGGTGCACCCGGGGCCCCAGGAGCCGTGGGATGGGGCAGGGGCCAGGCGGTCGGGGCTGCGAGCCCCGGTGGGAATGTCAGCTGACTGGGCAGAGGCGGGGCCTGGGCTGCACAAGGACACTGGTCCACTCTCTCAGGGGCACCTTCCCTCTGCTCATCTCTCCTGTAGCCTTTGTCTTTCTGTGCTTTCCCTCTCCTGGGGAAAATCCCCACTGTGTCAGCTGCGGCTCCTTTCCTGACAGGTGACTGGGGCACACGCGCCAGGGTCCCGGTGCCCAGGAGAGCGGGAGCTGCATTTCCAAGTCTGGGTGGTGCCGCAAAGCTGGCTGACGTGCCTCCGAAGACCCCGGGCTGAGACCCGGCCCCGGGGGCGGGGCAGGATTGGATCGGTTCTCACGCTTCTCCTGGTCCTGACGGGCCCAGCTCGGGGCCATGTGATGCTAAGAACATCGACAGCTTCTTAGGAGCCGCAGCTGGTGCCCGTGTGAGGCGCGTGGTTAGCGCTTGTGCGTGGAGTCTCCAGACAGCGGTCCGAGCGCGGCAGGGCCACCCCCACCGCACGGAGGGGAACCGAGACTTAGGGAGGTCAAGGCTTCGCCGGTGGGTGTCTATCTTTCACATAAAAAAAACCAACTACATAATGTTTTGTATTTTTCTCAATTTTTGTCTGAACAAGGGGCTGTATTGTATAGTTTTTGTATTCATTTGGGTTTTGGGCATTTGTCATCAGGGACTCTTTCTGGAAATGGCAGAGTGAGGACTTTTAAAAATAAAAACTATTTCATGGCCGTTGGAGATGGCGTCAGGACCGTGTTCCCCGGGGACTGCCCCGACAGCGTGGTGTTCGGAGGTGCCGAGAGCTGGTGTCGGAGTTCTGCAGCACCCCTCACAGCCCAGCGAGTTCTGCCAAGGCCCGTCTGGAACAGAGACCCGCACTTCTTAAGAACCCCTCACAAGTGATCGCGAGGCTGTCACTTCAGCGCCTGTGAGTTGCGACAAGTTAATTACGCTGATGACCGACTGGGCCGGCCTCACACTGAGATGAGATACTGAAGGGCGGTTTCCTGTAAGGAGCTCCTTTCTGCACGAGGTGCCTGGGCCCCGGCGCCAGAGGGCGGGGACCTGCTCTGGGGAACGCAGACCTTGGAAGGGCGGCGCGGTCCCTGCGCGGACGTCGGGTCCTCAGGCTGCAGTCGGGGCCTTCGCGTCGGAGAGCCGCAGTGAGGTGGTTACAGAACACCGCCCACTTAGAACACCCCGACATCGTCCCCACGCCACCTTCACAGGAAGGGCTCCCGACGGCACTCGCCAGGAGAATGCGGCGACTGCATCGGCGATGCGTCAGCACGCCCTCCCTGCTCTCACTAGACTCCCGGACGGAGGGCGAGGGGCAGGCGGGCGGGCGGGCGTGCGTGGGAGACGGAGAGGGAGGGAGAACGAGGGGCACGAGAACAGAGCCGGCCCGGCTGGGGACAGGACGGGTCTCCGGGCCCCTGGGGTGTGACTGAGCCCCCCTCAGGAACCGGGCAGACACTCAGGCGCCGACTCCTCAGAAGAGATCTCTCCTTTTCCTCCGAGACTGCTTAAACTCATCTACATCTCCTTCTTGTGTATCGCATGGTATCCATCAGCTGATTTTTGTTATGTTTTCCATTTTTGAAGAGTTTTCTATCAATACTTTTTTTTGGGGGGGGTGGTGTGATATTATAAAAGATAAAATAAACTTCATGTTTTACTTTTTTGAAAAAGAGCCAAACGGTCCTAGAATGTTAACGCGACTTCGAAGGCCAGTGATTGCAGACTTTGAGAAGGATCCGCTGGGCCAGGGGCTGGGCCGGGCCCCCTCGGGAGGCTCTGTGGGCTCAACGTGAGGACGGCAGACCCTGGTCCCCAGCCCAGCCGGGCCCACCTTTGCTCTGCAGAGACCGCGGGTCCAACTGGCCCCAAGCACTGTCCTCCCCTCCGTCCCTGCCCTCTGCTCTCGGGAAGGATACGTCCCAGTGGGGACATAGAGGATGGTTTTAGGAAACTCACAGACTGGACTTCACAGGACACCCGTCACGGGGAGGAAGCACGGGGAGGAAGTTAGTCCCTTAGGTCTCCGACAGCCTTCCAAAGTCTCCGTTTGGGACTGCACTGTCTCCGCGCCACACCGCTACTTGCCATTTTTTGTACCAGAGAGAGCAGACCCCAGACCCAGGTGCTTCAGCAGGAAGTTGGTATTTCCATACTGTGCATATACATACAGGGTCCAGCGTAAATAACGCCCCTTTTCTTTATTAAACGAAAATGTTTTATTACAAAATCACAAGCATGTAATTCTGTAATGTAACAACAGCACACTCAAGTGTCACCATGTGACACTGCGGGTGACATGCTCAAACTTCTTCCACTCATCTCGTGCGAGACGTTCACGCACCCCACCAGCCACACTCAGTGGCGTTACCCTGTGTGTTTACCGCCACCTTACTGCAACAGCAAGAGACCCTGGTATTTCATTTCACGGTCGCAATGCAAAATTCCCTCTTAACGTCGATGTTTTCCTTTTTACCTATGCAAGTAAACACGGTGAGTCCACTGGAAGAAGCGTATTAATG